CAAGCAAATGTTCATTTCTCTAGTCAACAGATGCTTGATGACATTCTGGTTATAATCTGAGGAATTATAACTTTAATACTGTTTTGAATAAAGGTTTTCAAGAATATATGTTTTTTGTACTTTATGTTGCTCGAGAAAATGCAGGAAGTTGGTATCAGAAATTAATGTCAGTCTATATGCAAGTGTATTTAATAGGGCATTTCAATTTTATAATTAAGCAAAACTATATGTGGAAATTAAACATGTACTTACTAAAATGTTAAGTGTTAAATAAGTTATACAGCTGTTATAGCATTAAAAAGTATTTAAGTGTAAACTCGGAAACCATTTGGCCAATGATATGGGATGTATATGAATTGTTGCCCCACTATCCCAGGAAAGGCCCTTTAAGGAGCTGCAGACAAGTGCTCTCCTCCATGAATTCTCCAGTTTCACATTTGGTTTAAGGAGCTGCACACAGGTCCTACTTTTCCACGCTCCAACTTCTTGCTATCAAAAGTGCTGCACAGCCCTAATAGTCATATGTTGAAAAAAGCTATGGAAGAAACAGTTTTCAAAGAAGCCAGTCTTCAATTCTATCTGTGACAGACAATGTCTAGGCTGGGTTGGCTAATAAGGAGACAGAAACTATACTGCTGATTTCATGATTATCACAAGGTTGGTTCATCCTAGAAAACTGATTCAAGAAGGTACATAATATATCTCCCTGTAGTGACTGCATAATAAAAACAAATAAATATACCACATGATGACCAACATGAGGATCACCTATATCCCCGAGTATTCTAGTTGTGTCCCCACCACAAAATTCATCCCTGCTCCATTCTGGTGGCATCACCCTTTGAGTAACATCACCTGCAGCCCTTCAGCTGATGGGGAGCGAGTTGTGGCCCCCAACCCTAAGAAAAATATCCAGCTCTAATCCATATTCACAAGTTTTTGATGTTACAGTGTGGTGAGTTTTATCCCTAATTCCCATGAATGGAACTCATTCACAGGAAATTACCATTAAGAGTAGGTTGGGAGACTTGATATATGGCCAATTCTCCTTTACCCTCCTTTACTCTGCCTCTTCAAAATATGCCCTAGAGCAATGTTTCTCAACCTTAGCAACTTTAAGATGTGTGGACTTCAACTCACAGAATTCCCCAGCCAGCATGCTGGCTGGGGAATTTTGGGAGTTGAAGTCCACACATTTTAAAGTTGCTAAGGTTGAGAAACCCTGGAGCATGAACTGACAGTGCCCATGACAGTCTTGGAGGATGGCATGAAGACAAGAAGTTGCAGAAGGAAAGGAGACATTGTTGCTTACTTTCCTCAAGCAAGAAAAGAAGCAAACAAAAGGAAATCAAGCACTTTCAAATGAAACCTCTTTGGGAGGAAGCAATTATTCTATTTAATATCCTTGTTTATCTCCGTATATACCTTGAAGGCTCAAGTATTATTTATCTAATTAAGTTTGTTGTACTCTGTTGCAGGCTACCACAGATCTATACGGCAACTGCACGTTGCGCCACTCAGGAACATCTGCAGCTGCCCCAGAGGCTGCAGGAGTGTTTGCTCTGGCCCTGGAAGCAAAGTGGGTGAAAGCAGCCATCAGTTATCTTGTGATGAGTGAAAATAACTCAGCTTTATGGCTTGGAACCTGGTCTTAAGCCTCCATGAGCTGAACATCAATTGCTTGTTAAAGCAGGCTGCACCTGGAAGCCCATTTTATGTTTTTCAGAAAATGTGCAGGGAGGAAAAGGGTTTAAAGCCATACAGGATGCTTCTGTCTCTCTTGGTGTCCTCCTGCACTGACGGAGAAGTCTGAATCTGCTTTTGGTGCCACCGGCTCCATCACTTATGGCCTCTTTTTCTCCTGCATGCATTCTCAAAATTCATCAAGAGGGCTTAATTCCTTGGAATGCAGTTAGGCTAACTTAGAGAAGGCGCATTGAAGATTGCACTTATTCTAGAAGAGGCATTGATTTCTCTCATGTGTTTTTCATCCATGGTCTCTTAAAGATATTTCTCTCTCAGTTCAATCCTGCCATGGCTTAGTTATTTCCATCCTGACTGCTTTTAGTTGTGCAAGTTTTTAACACACTGTATTAAAGACTGCTTTCTGTAGTCTTTCTTTTTCAGCACACTTATTCAGTATGTAGAGAAATGTGTCTCAAATGAGGTCTGAAGACCAGTTGCCAAATTTTTCTAAAAATAGAAATTTCCTGGGGCAGAACATTTTTCAGATAGCCTAATTCAAGCAGAATCGTCTGTCTGTCTGTCTGTCTGTCTGTCTATCTATCTATCTATCTATCTATCTATCTATCTATCTATCTATCTATCAATCATTATCTATCATTCCTATGCCTCTACAGAATATCTGTATCTATCTCTATGTTAAACTGTCCATCCCACCTCCTCGTTATTGGTATCTGCGGGGGTGGGGGGCAAAATCTGCAAGATTATGTCACAATCCAAGCTTTGCCCCATTGTACATGCATTGATATAGCATGCATGTACAAAAGGGGCAGGGCTTGAATTATGACACCATGCCCATTTTGTGGATTTTATCCCCTCCTCCCTTGCAGAAACCCCTGCTTATACAGTACCGCTACTATTTATCCACAGATCCATGTACTTAAAAAGTGTATTGTTTTATCACACAGCACTTTATTCTTGATTGTTTAATCAGAATGTGTTCTCCACAAGAGATCTTTAAGGTTTTCAAGACAGTGGGGGAAGATAAGTAGATGAAAGGACCCATCTAGAAATCTTGTGGAAATATATTTGAATGCAATTTTTTTTAATCATTTCATTTTGCCAAAATAGGACTAGTCATATTACTGATCTTTCTTTGAAAAACACAGCTCTGAGAAAGTCCAAAATGAATCTTTGTTAGGGCCAGCTAGAAAGGTGACTGTTCACCAGGCTAAAGTATTAAGCAAAAAGCAAATCAAAGGGGGGGGGATGTGGATGGTGGTGGTAATAGTGGTGGAAGAGAGATGTTGCAGACAACATTTTTAAAATCTAGCTTGCACATTCTGTGGATCTTAAAATGAAAGAAGGGAAATCTCATGAATGGAAGAGTTTACCCTCCCCTTGTGATGATCCTTTGAGCCCTAAAAATATGCATCCCTGCTATCTTTAACAGTTTTGCTTATATGCACATGACAACTGTCTGCAATATATAATAGTCTTTGCCAAAGTAGTTTTTCTAAAGATGCCAGCTCTCACTATCTTGTTCTCTGGCAGTGCGGATCTGACGTGGAGGGACTTGCAACATTTGACCGTCCTCACTTCCAAAAGGAACCAGCTTCATGATGAAGTTCACAAGTGGAGAAGAAATGGAGTTGGCCTTGAATTCAACCACTTGTTTGGCTATGGGGTCCTAGATGCTGGGGCAATGGTTACGATGGCTAAAGACTGGAAGACTGTTCCAGAGAGGTTTCACTGTGTAGGTGGATCAGTCCAAGAACCTCAGTAAGTAACAATAAATATAAGTGTTTCAGGGCTTTGCACAGCTCCTTTGCTGTGCTTTCCTTCCATCCTGTAGCTGGGAAGAAATCACATCGACATAAATTGCATTGCCCCACAGCATGCCTTTCAGACACATCTGGAATGGGACTATGCTATGCTGCTATCCACATACTTTAAGGGCAGTGATTGGTGGTTTTCCCTGGCTGAAATTTAAACATTTTCAACTGCTGGAAAAGCTGAAGCCAACTGCATTACAGAATGTGTCCTGGAGTGGTGCTCCATCCAATAAATTTCTTTCTTTCTTTTTTCCCCCAAAGGACCATCTATCTATCAGCCCATTAGCAGTAAAGGGTTCAGCTTTCTTTGCTGCAGTGAAGTGGTTGCCTGGATTTGTATAGTCCAGATGCAGCTGCTGCATAAATTCTTGCAGCCAGAGTTCAAGAAAGGGGTCCTGGTGTAAGAGAGATGATCAACTATGAAATAATCTCAGATACATTGACATAGTTCTTCCAAAACAATTATTGACCTGAGAGACTGTCAACCTATCAACCTATTGACCTTTTTTTTTTTTTTTTTTTTTTTC